ATATCTTTGATAGTGAAATAGGTTCATTAGAACTTGATTTATAATTTTTTTTGATAGAGATGTTACTTGTGTGAGCTTTCACACACTGGAAAAGAATACTTTGAGCTATAGAATATCTATCATGTGTTGTGTGGTTAAAATTAGTAAAATGTCGTTTAAGGGTAGGGACTTTAGAGTCAGGAGATATTTAATTGAGTTCTGACTTTACACTTTGGAAAAGATTACTTTATCTCTTCCAGTTGAGGGTATAAATGGAAATAATAATACCAGGATCAATTGAATGATTAAATAAGATTAAATTCCTAGCACATAGTCTGTGCTCAAAACATGAAGGCTACTTTTTAGACAAGGAAGAGACAACTAAGAAGGACTAAGATACCTACTTTGAAGGAAGTAGCCACTGAAAACCCATGTCTAACCTGGAAATATTGTCAGATGCTGAAGGCCTTATAAGTGGAAGCAGGACTTTATTGGAGACAGTACCAGAGGATGGGTCCCCGGGGTCAGAGGACATTGCAATGTGACTGAAGAGGAGCTGATATTTTGGAGTGGAGTCGACCATGGTGATGTGAGCTGGGTAAAACTTGTGGGAGTGGAGCCTTTTGGATATTCATTTGCTGATAAGGCATGACTTAAGGTAAAAAGAAACCGCTACAAAAACCGCTAATGATCAGAACTTGGAATGTGAGAAGTATGAATCAAGGAAAATTGGAAGTCACCAAAAGTGAAATAGAAAACATAAAGATCTAGATCATAGGCACTAGTGAGCTGAAATGGACTGGTATTGGCCATATTTAATCAGCAAACCATGGTTTACTGTGCTAGGAATGACACAATCAAAAAGAATGGTGTTTCATTGATTGTCAAAAAGAATATTTCAAGATATATCTTAAATTACAGTGTGACAGCTTGATATCTATCTGACTTTAAGGAAATCCAATCAGTACAACTATTATTAAATGTTGTGTACAAAAGATAGTAATGAAAAAATTGAAGATTTCTACCAGCAACTTCAATTTGAAATTGATCAATGCAGTCAAGATGCATTGATAATTATTGGCTATTGGAGTGAAAAACTTGGAAATGAAAAAGAAGGAACAATAGTTGGGAAATATAGTCTTGGTGATAGAAATGAAGCTGGAAATCACATGATAGAATTTTGCAAGGCTAATGACTTGTTCGTAGTAAATACCTTTTGTCAACAAAACAAAAGGGAATGATACACATGGGCGTCTCTAGATGGCATACAAAGAAATTAAATTGACTACATCTAAAGAGAAGAGACTATGGAGAAGCTCAACATCAGCAGTTAGAACCAGGCCAGGAGTCCACTGTGTAACAGACTATCAATTGCTCATATGTAAGTTCAGGATAGAGCTTAAGAAAATCAAAACAAATCCATGAAAGTCATGATATGACCTTGATTCTACTCCACCTGAATTTCCAGAACATCACAAGAACAGATCTGATACATTGATCATTAATGACAGACAATCTGATGAGCTGTGGGAGGACAGTCATGAAGAAAGCAAAAGGTTATTAAAAAGACAAAAGAAAGAAGGAAAGGATCAAAGTGGATGTCAGAAGAGACTCTGAAACTTGCTCTTAATCCTAAAGAAGCTAAAGCAGATGGAAGAAAGGGTGAAGTCAAAGAGCTGAACAGAAAATTTCCAAGGGTAGTTCGAGAAGACAAAAGCAAATACAATGAAATGTGTTAAGACCTAGAATTAGAAAACAAAAAACAAGA